GAGAGAGAGAGGGGGGGAGAGGGAGATAAGTTCATATAAGAATTATATAAGAGAATGATCAAATTATGTATAAAATTACATATGATTTTGCATTAATGGCTAAAAAAATGTCTGGACGACCCTAATTTAATCAAAAAATGTTGGATTAATGAAGTAAAATATTTGATTAAAAAAAATAATTTTAAAATAAAAACAATAACAAAGAATAAAAATATATAAAAGTAATAAAAAAAATGAAAAGGTGAAATCATTTAATGCATTACTTTAAGAAAATTTTAGAGTTTTAAGGTAGGTTTCTCTCCTTAATTCTCTTTGTCATAGTTTTTTTATATGTGTATATTAATAGTTTACTAATAAAATAAAAATAAAAATAATAAGTTGGATTGCTTATAAACATATTTTATAAATTTAATGTACCTTAATAATTAAAAAATAATAATAACTATAACTATAAATAAAAATGTTTAATGTTAATATAAAAACAATAACAAAGTAATAAAATATATAAAAGTAATAAAGAAACTGAAAAGGTGAAACCTCACAATTTTAATTTAAAAATAATTCAAAATTCTAATACAGTTCCAAAACAAACAATATAGGATTATACTTGACTCTCCCTCAATAGTCAATAGTCTTCATGCACAATTTTAATTTAAAATTAATTCAAAATTCCAATTCTCTTTTCATAATCTTTCTTAAGAAAACAAAAAAAAATATCGTTAATATAGAAAACTATATATGATTCATGTACAAAATCATATATGACATATATATATATATCCATTGATAAACCAAACGTCTGAATGGAATTTGGCCAACGAAATTGACCATTTCAATTTCATCAGATTCTATCAGAATTCTACGAATCAAATGTCCCCTTAATCCTATGAATGAAGTTAGTCTTAGGAAAAAAACAAACAAAATGAAAACCACAATAATAAAAGACGCAATTTTTAAAAACTAAAGACAAAAATAATTATAATCAACAAACTATTGGGAGGAAATCGTGATTTACTTTATATAATCTATACTATATTATAAAGTATTTGACAAAAATTCTTAAAAACCATTTTTATGCATGAAGTACTGTTTATTGATGCATATTACTTAAAATTCAAGATTACAAATAAATTGTGCGTAAGTACAACTTATTAAAGCTTTATGTTTGAATTCGTGTAACTAACTGCAGATAAACATAGTCAAATACAAGATAAAATTTTATTTTAAATATAAAAAATCTAGAATATAATTAGTCAAATACAACTTACATAGGGAAATTTTTTTGGGTGATTACTGATGGATCACCCAGTAAATACTAATGGTTTATAGAATTCTACGTGTTTTTGAAATAAATAGTAATTGATCAACCAGAGAATCATTGGGTAATCAGTCACTTATTTGAATTATTCATCAATTTTTGTGACGGTTTTATGACTAATCACTTTTCAATAACAGATTTTCTAGAAAAAAATTTATAAATAAAAGTCTTCTATTTAATAGTGTTGATGCATAATTTATAGTTTTATTATTAATTTTAATCATTAATTAAATATAGTTTAATAAATTAATAATATGCATATCGACCATTCGTGTGGCATTGCAAGATAGCTTGCATGTTCTGAAATAGCTTTTGCTGTAGTGTGGGTGTCAATTTTGTAGCAAAACAAACTAATCAATTTTTGTAATAACTGTATTAATTAGGGATAATTAAAAAGTCGACCAATCTAATACAATTTAATTTAACGTGAAATAACTCAATTTCAAATGATGTCTAATTGAGTTGTAAAATTTCAAACTGTAGATATTGAGTTACGTTTATTTGGACTCAACTCAACCCGATAAACCCGATATTCTTTTGTTTCTTGGATTTAATATGATTGTTGTGTCTTTATTAATATGTATATTAGACAACTACACTATCAGATACCTTTTTCATTTACATATATTTTCAATCTATCATCCATCTCTCTCTCTATATATAACTCCTATGTATATATAACTCCCTTTTATGTGTGTGTGTGTATATATATATATATAGAGAGAGAGAGAGAGAGAGAGAGATTTACTTTACAAACCACGTTATTTGTACAAACAATATAAATCTCATTTAACCAATCATAATTTTTTATTTTGTTCATTTTTTGAAATCATAAGAGGTTGATTAATCATTTTTATTGTTAGGTGTTAATAATGAATATTATCATCTTCATTATTTTAATTTTAGAGAAAAACATGAAACAATTTCATTAAAATTTCATAACCATATATAAAACAATTTCATCAAAAAAAAATTATATGAAAAAATTTCACAAGATTAAACAATTTCATGAAAAAAATCATAAGATTTAATAATGAAATCGACGGATGAGGATGGTTTGCACGGTTTGTACAAATTGGGTGGTTTGCATTTGATCGCTTCTCTCTCTCTCTCTCTCTCTCTCTCTATATATATATATATATGTATGTATATATATAAATTTAGAAAATTAATTGAATATGATATATTAAGATTAAGAAATATGGATAAGTTGTATCGAATGGTTGATGATGAAAAAGAAATTATGAGTAGACTAGAGAAAACAACATATTCAAGGTTATTAGCATATTTTGATGTACCAAAGTATCAACATGACCAACATGTATGATTTGAGCTAGTTATATATATATATATATATATATATATATATATATATATATATATATATAAATTGAGAAAATTAATTGAATATAATATATTTAAGATTAAGAAATATGAGTTTTATCAAATGGTTGATGAAGAAAAAAAGTTATGAGTAGACTAGAGAAAACAACATATTCAAGGTTAGGATAATATTTTGATGTAATAAAGTATCAACACGACCAACCCGTATGGTTTTGGGCTACTTTGGGCCGCATTTTGGTTTGTTGGGTTGAGATTTTTCAAACCGCAAGCATTTGGTTGGTTTGTTCAAATGTCTTAAACCCGATCAACGTTACCTATGAGCACCTCTAGTACCAATTTAATTGGTTGATAGTATCGTACCAACTATCGAAAGTTGGCTGGTATGTGGTATCATAAGTCATGTACCACGGTAATACTGTATCGTACCAACTTATTTTTAACTATTTATTAATTAAAGTTTAATCAATAATACAACATATTTTCATTTTTTAAAATTTCAATTATCTTATTTTTTAATTTTGTTAAATTATAGTATAGATGGATATACAAAAATTGTTTGAATTTATTCGCCTAACTCTAACAATTTTACTGACTTGCCCACACCTCCATCGTCTATCGTCGCTCCTCAATGATCCCTTGTATTAAACTATTAGTGATATTTATATTATAGGAAAGTTATTTGAATCCATGTATAAGTAAGGATAAATGGTACAACACATATTAACATGTTATTTGAATGCTCCATGATTTTAGTACATCCAGATCTTCTTGGTAAAGATGTCAATATAGATAAATTTGTACTTCAACTTTTACGATGTTGGTACAAAACCGACCAACGTTTACCAACCAAAAAAAGATTGGTACCTATTTAGTTGGTACCAAGTATAATTGGTTGGTACATGATATAAAAGTTAACGTACCAATTATAATTAATTGGTACACAGTATACCGGGAAAAAAAGGTACCATATTATGTTCATTCCTAAATATACATTTGGTACATAAGAAATGAGATAAAACAGTACAAAATATGGATCAATGTTTAACGTTGGACAAAACAATTGTTGCCTCCTCTTATATTATTAAATGTTTTTTCAAGATACCAAAAGCAATCTAATAGTAGTTGAATGGGTTTTCCAAGGGCTTTGAGCGCCTATGTGCATTGATGCTCTTGAAAAATGAAAATGGAACATATAATCTACGTGTCATGTATTAAAAAAACATTTAAGGACCGTTTATTAAACATTTATTTGGTAAGTGTTTACATGATAAATTTTCTTATCGGATGAACATGAGAAGGACCAAGAATCTTACCGAGTAAGAGCAATGAGAATGATGGAGAGTCTTACCTGATAAGTGATGATGACGACTCTTACCGAGGTAAGCGCTTACCGAGTAAATTGTTGAATTCGATATATTTTGATGTACTAAAACCTTGCGCATCAAAATAAATCATAGTGTTGACTCTTATCGGTAAACGCTTACCGGGTAAGCAATTGAGTAATCGGCCCCTTTAATTTGATATATGAATCTGGTATATTTATTAATTAAATAAATTATAAGACAAAAAGAAAAAGAAGAAGCAGAAGTGTGTTTACGGTGTTGTATAGTAAAATTTGGGGTTTCTAACCAAACTAACCTTTTAAAATAGATAATTTACAAATTTAACCCTAAAATTAAATTTTTTAAACAAATAATCATTCATTGCACTGTTAGTAAATTAATTTGTTTAAAAAATTTAATTTTAGGGCTAAAATTGTAAATTATCTATTTTAAAAGGTTAGTTTGGTGAGAAACCAGTAAAATTTGCATGTAAAATTAAAAAAAATGGAATGAGTTGTTTGTTTACCTCTTAATAGTTTCATTAAAAGACAATCTTTGAATCGTTAAGAGATGAATCTTGTTTGGCAAAAAAAAAAATCTGCTTCTTAATGGTTCTAAAACCCTCTAAATGATTTTGTATCCTGAAACTCTTTAACAATTAAGAGCCCTAATATCATTGTACATAATTACCAAACAATTATATTTCATTTTGCATTATATCATAAGAGCCTTTTGATCATTCTGATCACTTAATCATTCAGTATCAAACCATTCAGCAATTATCAAACGGGCCGGAAGTGATTTACATGATGTGATATATGACGTGAGTGGAGGTCGTACCTGTAATTTTCTTTATGGAAAAAGATACCTACTGCAACAAATAATAAACAAGAACACATTTAATTTTCAACGCCCCTCTCAATTTCATAAACAAAGCACTGTGCCTCTACATATTTGAGTGCTTATAAAATACGATTACATGCTTCAATAATGGAAACAATTCACCCAACATTGTAATGGAAATCACACGTTTTCTCATGGGAAATGGTCTCTTCTCGTCTCTCTTTCTTCTCTTAACACCCCTTGTCTTCGTCGTCGTCTTCTTCTTCACTAAAAAGTATTCCAGATCTGCAAAAAACCTGCCACCAGGGCCACCACCATGGCCGATCATCGGAAACCTACACCAAATAGGCGAGAGCCCTCAAGTTTCCATGGCCATCTTTGCTCAACAACATGGTCCACTCATCTCCCTTCACTTAGGCACTCAACTTCTTGTGGTGGCATCTTCTCCGGAAGCAGCCGCTGGCATCCTCAAGACTCAAGACCGCTTTCTTTCTTCTCGAGCAATTCCTAACGCCTATGATCATGCTTACTCTTCCTTCTACTTTATTTGGTCAACCAACTGTGGTGAACACTGGAAGTCACTAAGAACCCTTTGCCGAAACGATATGTTCTCGGTTAAAGCCTTGCAAGCCCAGTCTCGTTTAAGGCAGGAAAAGTTGGATCAAATGTTAGGGTTCCTGCGTGGCAAGAAGAACCAAGTTGTCAACATTGGGGATGTTGTCTTTACGACAATGTTCAACACAATGAGCCAAGTTATCTTTGCCAAAGATTTTCTTGGTTATGGCGATGAACATGGAACCGTTGGCGGCTTGAAATGGAAGCTTTCCACGCTGCTCAAGTACGTAACAAGACCAAATATAAGTGATTTTTACCCCATTTTTAGAAGATTTGATCTTCAAGGATTGAGGAAGGAGAACTTCAAAAATACCCAGGAAGTTTATAGCTTTTGGGAGGGAATGGTAGAAGAAAGAAGAGCTAAAATGAAGTCTTCCAAGATGGTGATCGAAGAAGAAGAAGAGAAATTGTTCTTAGATCGGTTACTTGAAAATGGATTCACAAACCAACAGATCAATATATGTGCTTTGGTAAGCTTTTCTTATCCCTTCTACCATAAATTGTTTGAATGTCGTGTCTGATTGGTTTGAGCTTGTTCCAAAGATCAAAAGTACCAGAAGGTGTCAGGTTCAAATTCATGTAAGAATAAAAATCCCTTTGTGGCTACGAAAGTTCAAATACAGTGACTCTAGGGTTATCTGCAAAACAGGTGGTCACCCTGGAATTAATCGGCTCGTATAACGGATTGGATATCTAGGTTAATAAAAAAAAATTGTTTGAGTAAGTTTTAGAAACATGTTTTTTCTCAATGTTTTCTATTTTTTTGGAGCAAGTCAACTCCTTATATGCTCGTTGAAAGGTTTTAAATTTTCAAACCCAAGAATAAATTTAATGTGAAGAATTTATAAGTTTTTTTTTTTAAGATTTTGATTGATTTTCATTTTACGTGTGTAGGATTTATTCATAGCAAGTACGGACACTACATCCTCAACCATTGAATGGACCATGGCCGAGTTGTTGAAAAATAAAGAAGCGATGTCCAAAGTACGACAAGAGTTGAAGTACAACACCAACTCCAACATCACACACGAATTTGAATTTTCTAAATTACCTTATCTAAATGCTTGTATTAAGGAAACACTAAGGTTACATCCTCCGGCGCCTTTCCTAATTCCTCGTCGTGCTGTCGAGACTTGTGAGGTTATGAACTACACGATCCCTCAAAATACCCAAATATTTATCAATGTTTGGGCAATCGCTCGTGATCCAAGAGTTTGGGAAGACCCCCTCTCGTATAAACCTGAAAGGTTTCTGGGCTTGAATTTGGATTTCAAAGGCCAGGACTTTGAGTACATACCATTTGGTGCAGGGAGGAGGATGTGTCCCGGTTTACCCTCTGGTATTAAGAGTGTTCAATCTATATTAGCATCGTTAATTCATGAATTCGATTGGGTTCTTCCCAATGACGAAGATCCTTCAAAGCTGGACATGAAGGAAAAATTTGGGGTGACACTGCAGAAGGAAAAACCTCTTCAACTCATTTTCAAAGATTTAAATTAATCTTTATTATGTAATTTTTTACCTCGTTGATTCAAGAAAATTTTGTTCAATATCCATACATTTGGGGGCTTTCATGCTTGGATTATTGATTTTGAGTTTTGGATGGAGAATCTTGGAGTTTGATTATGTTTAGATGTTGAATTGTGTATCAAAACCTTTGGAAATGTTCAAATAAATTGGTTTTATGTTGGTAAATGCATAGAATCGATGTTGGAATGTTGGATGTGGATTTTTGGGTTGAAATTAGAATTTCCGGACTGTGCAAAAGAAAACAGCGGGTGCCCGCGACTTGGGCCGCGTGGCTAGTCGCATAAATCCCTGTTTGTGCGTTTTAAAGATTCATCGATTCTCATAGTGGGTTCAGTTTGGGACGCTGTTTAAAAGTGTTGCTTAGGCGGTTATAAAAGTGATTAGTGAATTAATTGAGGAGGTTTAACACCCTTTTTCTGATTCGGTGAATTCAGGTTTTCGGTTGTTGGATTGTTGTCCTTCGAGCCTATATTAAGGTTTTGGACTGCAAGTGAGCTTCTCTTGTTATTTTTTTTTTGACAAACGTATACCCATCAGTTATGTTAGAATTGTTATCTGATTGAATTCACATAGTTTGCATCATGTACTTGAAAAATGATTATTTGCTCGGTGTGAGTTCTTGGTGTCTGAGTGTGTATTATGATGTTTTGATGTACAGGAAATGTGTACCCGAATGGAGCACATGAATTCGTTTCATGTAGCTCACTTATAAAAAATCTCTCATTTGAACTTAACTTAGATTTTAGAAAATCATGTGTTTTATATGCTCAGAAGATATACATAAAGACACTTTTTTTTTAAACATTTTGGTAGTGATTAAGTCCCACAAGACCTCAACCATGGAACCCGCTCAAACTAAATCCAATCAAAATACTATTATACACAAGGCACACATATGGAGAATCTATCATTGATTATTATAAGGTTACTCATGCAAACCATCGAGACATATTTTTATTTTAATGTTTCATTTTATTTTGTATCCATGTCGATGTAATACGATTTTATGTGGTTTTAAAAAAACCATAATGTTCTTATTTTTGAATAAAATCTAAATTTAAAAATATCATATAAAATTTGCAAAAAATATATCAATATAATAGTACAAATTAACTATTTAAAAATTCTCATTTGTATATTTTTTTAATTCAGTTTTTTATTATAATTTAATTTAACATAACGAAGTAACTTAATTTAGGTTTAATAATATATTTTTTTATAAAGATAATAATTAAGTATTTTGTTAGAACTCAATGA